TGGTAAGTCTGCTGTCAATTTCGAGTACGACCTCGCAAATTGCTCCAGTTGTGACCTTTGCAATCGGCTCGGGCAATTTGAAATTGATGGTGCCACGAACAACCAGCATCATAACTAAACGCTTGTACGCGATTTTGGCAGCAATGTCGTCAACCGATAGTTCGAACGGGCCTTGTAGCTTCTGTGTGACATTGGGAAGCGAGATATTGTCACTGGCCGGAAGCAAGATGGCGAGATCAGAGGAGCCACCCGCTTTGAGGATCTCTTGCACATTCGCCTTGGTGGCAAATACAATGCCTCCTCGAGCTGCTCCGACCTGAAGACGGTGGGTCTGAGTGAGATTGGAGCCGTCAGTGCCAGTAAATGGAGTCGGTTCTTTGATGATGAGGTCTTCCCATCTGCTTTGCGCCGGCCGAGGCGTAGAGCGCAGCCACGGGTCAGCTTTGAGCCATGGATCCTTGGCCTCGGTGGATGGGCTAGCTGAAGCTCGTGAGGTCCCTCCGGATGCAGGCTTGACTTCAGCTGGCTTCATGGTGACATCGTCATCCGGAGCTGCACCAGCAGCGATGAACTGGATGGGGAATCGGTTCTCCGCAACTCTGACGAGGTACCAGGCTCGAATCCGGGAGGCAAACTCGATCAGATGCGGGTGAGCCTGGGCGGCAATCCAAAGTTCTCTGGCTTCATACTGTGCACGGTCGAAGTCAGCTGCCAACGGATGAAAGCTGAGTACCCGCCTCTGGGCAGGTTGTAGCGGAGCACAATTGGCAGTGAGTCTCTGGTAGATGACAGCAACGAGATGATAGCCGCACATGTGTTGCGGAGCCACTTGATCATAGAAGTGCACAGAAACCTGCGTGTCTCGGGCTCCAGTAATGTTGACCAAGTGGTTGACAAGTGGCTGAAGCAAAATCCGACTTTCAGCAGGAAAGGTGAACGCAAAGTTGGAGGCCTCTTCATGAAGGTAGGCTTCCGCTTGAACCCAGTGCTGATCGACCTCAATAATCCAAATGACTTGGTTGTATGCTCTATAGTCCGGAATGATGTCGTTGTAGAAATGGAGGTGCGAGGCGCCAACATTCCAGGAAGCAGGAGCACAAAATAATGTCATTGGATTGAGTGCTCTGGGGGCCTCAAGTGCAATATCAAGCTCGTCAGACGTCATCCAGCCTGGGTGTCGTAGAATTTGGGCAAGTCGAAAGCGGATGCGCTCAGTCACGAGGCGCGATCTGTCAATGCGTGGTGGAGCTTGACCATTTGCAGGAACTGGTTGAACAATCTGTAGAGTCGGCTGATTGCCAAGTGGTGGACAGGCAGTCTGAAGAGCAACCTGTGGATGTGGTCTTCCCTGCATTTCACGCCTTCCCAGAAAACACAAAAAGTTCTTGCGAAGGGTGTAAGCCAATCTCCCGACATCATTTGACATCTGTGCCTGGGCCCAATCCTCACTGGAACACTGCATTGCAAGCTGGATCAGCTCGTTGTATTCGCCATTCAGGGTGATGTGTGACGTAGTGTCAGCAATGCCGTCCTGAAGCCCATGTCTGAGGTACCATCGATAGATAAGGAGCCACCCACAAAGATGATCAGGTGGATCACTTTGTTCCGTATTGACCTGGAATCGGTGAGGAGCAATGTCCAACAAGCGTCCGACAAGGAATGTCAGAGCCGTGTGCAAGGATGCCGGGACTTGGATAAAAGTGACCTGAACTTGATCTCCTCGACGGTCAATTTCAATGCCAGCCCAATGACTTCCAATGAGGACAGGAATAGCAGTGTTGGCATTGTTCATGATGTGCAACTCGCCAAAAACAGGAGGTTCAAAATCCCCATTTGCTGGGTTCCACAGTTGTGGAGAACCGAATCGAAGCCAATTCTGCTGCCACTGAAGGGCTTGAGTGTAATGGAAGACCTCATCGCTTGCGACCCAGCCGTGTGTGTCACACATGAACTCAACTCTGGCAGTAAAGTCAGAAAGAGCCGGAAGAGACGGTGGTGCTCCATTGAAGGCATGATGGCCGCCTGCATGGATTGTTGATTTCACACACAGGTCAATGACATCACCACAGCGAAGTCGGAGATCATTGGCTGGTCTGTGAGTCCCATTGATCAAATCAACCCGGAGTTGAGCATCATGTTGACTGAGCTGAATGGCATCTGGAATTCGGTCGGATTGCAGAGTGGCTCCACAGATAATGAGGTCTTGAGGAACTCGAAAGATGACATCGCACATCTGATTCTCATCACAGTCGTGTGCTTCTGAGACCATGAGTGTAGTGGAGTTCTCCCCTGGCACGATGATCGAAGTTTTGTTACGACTTCTGATGGCTGGGAGCTCGCCAATCTTCTCGATCAAACACTTGTGGTGAGCCCGTGGGATGTAAACTGTCAATGAAAATTGCTCTGGCAAGATCACAATTGACAGCTTGGATGCTGTGTTGCTTCCGCCATCTTGCAGTGTTTGGATGGCATGCCGAATGTCCCAGAATATAGAGGTCTGCACAATGGTGTCGAAGGTTGGCATCTCAATATGCAGAATCTGGTCAACTTCTCCACGGTCCTCAGCATGGAAAGAAGGGATGACCTTAGTCGGATCGGTGGGCCGAGCGTGGCAGATGATGTCACACGAGCCAAGGGTGCAGAATCCAATGACAAGCCGAACACTGCCCTCTTGCCGGGCAATCTGCTCTACGGTTGTATGGTCATTGATGCGCATGTCCGAATTCAAGGCACAAATCTGCTCGAGGAGGCCTGGGGGGCCTTGGCACTGTTCCCGAAAGAGCTGCTTGATTGTTTGGTCAGGCCTGGCACGAAATGAGAAGTCACGAGACACACAAGCACCTGTAACACAACAGGTTCGACGGCCGGAGTCAGGTAACTCAGGGCGAATCTGAACCCAATCCCAGAACTCGCTTTTGGGAATCAAGTGCACAAACTGTTGGTCTTCAAACAGAATGGCATTGTGCGTGGTCATGCGGTCAGTCCATACCTGGCGGACAAGTCCGACCGGATCGACTCGACTGGCATCAGTAGTGTGCAACACGATGGCAAGTGCGAGTACACTGTGAGGCACCGTGATGGCGTTGCCTACAACACGGAAAGACTCAGCAACTTTTGTGGACATGACGACATGCTCTGTGGCTCCAAACAAACTGCAGAACATGGCTGGGTCAAAGAAATGAAACCCGTCGGCTGACTCCCTGAGAGAGGCAAATATGCCTTTTGCTGACAAGTGGCTCTCATGGAGTGTATGCTGTCGAGTGTATGAAGCGCACAATGTAGGAAGCACCTGTGACGAATCCGGGACTCGAGATCGGATGATTTCTTTGCTCTGAGCTGCTCTATGGTCGAACTTGGCACGTTTGGCCGGAGGCAACGACTGGATGGAGTCGTAGATTTGGCATTCCGAAGATGACAGGCGCAGTTGTGAAGTCCAAACCTGTGGCAGGAAGAACTGGTAGGCTTGATCAGTCCAGTGAGATCGCGGAGCACATGGAAGGTTCAACTGAAACGGGATCATCTGAACAGCAACATCAGCTCTCACCCAAACTCCTAGCCACCTGGACCTGGCATGGGTGGTCAAAGGATGGTATGGCGTGACTTGGTCCCACACAAGTTTGAAGCCCAGGGCATGTGCGAGGGACTTCACCAGTTTAAATTGTGGATGGCTAACTACGTCATCTGCGCACTCGGCTGCGATGGCCAACGATTGGAGGCCAAAATTCTGTACAAGCGCGTCGAGGAAGGCACGTCCGTTGGCATCCTCAAGTCCGGCTCGTTTCCCTCCCTTGCTCCAGCTCTGGCATGGAGGGGACATTGTATTCAGCAGGTTTGCTTGCGATCTGCAAGCCTCAAGGATCGTGATGTCACTGATTGGGCCGCAGAGCCCAACTCTCCTGGCTGGTGACCAGCTGGTACCTCTCTGCAACGGAAGAGGCCTGAAGTTGGCCTGGTTCTTCACACTCCAGAGTTCCATGACACCAACATCGTGGTCAATGTAAACTTCTTGACCCAGGCATATGGTGCCATCGACGTAATGAAGCCCTTGGCTCCAACCACAAAAAGTGCCTGAAAAGAAATGAACCGCATCCCACGGAAGTGCAGCGGAGTATTCTGGTCGGAAGCCAATGGTGGCATGATCCAGCACAACTGCGTCATCTGTCGTCTTACTGGTCTGCAAGCCAGTACACATAACTTGAATGCCAGGGCACACGTGAAGGCCACGGCGACAAACGTCATGGAAACAGATCTTGATGCATTTATCTTCAACAGGGCGAGAAAAGCCAGCACCCGGTACAAACCAGTGGGCCATCACTTGCAACCAATCTGTCCCAAAATCAGTCACGTCGCCAACAACGAAGGTTCGTGAACCAACCATGGGGAGGAATCCAGGTGTGAGTCCAGCGAAGAGCCCTCGAATCTCATTTTTCACATGAGCCTGGTGGATGCAGTCCAATCGACCTTCCAGCTCTTCCATGGCGCAGGGACACAAGACGGGTCGCAAGTCGGCACACGCCACAGGAAGCAGCTGTCGAACCTGTGGGGCACGACTAGTCGACACCGCCTCCGTCCCGCGAAGGACGGCGAGCGGCCGCAGGGGGCTGGTCCCCTAAGCCGTCGGGCTTTGGGCCCCGTGGCTGCATTACTACTATTAACAAGAAGCTACTAGTACCTCCTGGCATTTCTACTAGGAGCAAGGACGTTGCTAGGGGCTCCTGGCATTACTACTAGTACCAAGAAGCTACTAGTAGCTCCTGGCATTTCTACTAGGAGCAAGGACGCTACTAGGGGCTCCTGGCATTACTACTAGTAACAAGAAGCTACTAGCAGCTCCTGGCATTTCTACTAGGAGCAAGGACGCTACTAGGGGCTCCTGGCATTACTACTAGTAACAAGAAGCTACTAGTAGCTCCTGGCATTTCTACTAGGAGCAAGGACGCTACTAGGGGCTCCATGAGGTCTCAGAGGTCTGGGAGGTGTCCTTTTTCACTCCGAGAGGCAACTGGGAAGGATCCACTCGCATCTCTCCGGCGTGGGACGCGCGTTGTACCTTGGCGGGTGAGGCACGGTGGGCTTTCTGGGTAAATGGAGATTAAATAGGATGAATACTCTGTGATAGATGAGCACCCCCTGTTAAGCCCTTTCCTGCTTATGGATGGAACCCACTGAACAATGGAAGGCTGCTCTTCTGTTGGAATCCGTACGTCTAGTACATGGCAAGATGGTCGACTAGCGAGGTACTCAATCTGTGATCACTATGACGACTTCCGCTGATCCAAGTGCCAATGTGGTGTTCATTAGATTCGACTCCCTTGTGATTTAAACAGATGCCTCCTCCCTAGTGAAATTCCAGCCTGGTATCATGCTTTCCTACTGCACGTCATAGAACTTCGAAGCATGGGAATTGGACGAGAAAAGTTGTCAGGTCTTTCTAATGGATTTCATGATGCTAGTGTTGAGGGTTGAGAGAAGCAATCATGTTTACCAATTTGTGTGCGCCCTCCTTTAACTTCTCCATCAACTTTCCTTTCATACCATTCTTGCTGATTGAACACTGAACCATAAATAGTGGATTGCGCAAAGCCAACCTGCAAGGGTGTCACTTGGACGCAAAAAGGAAAGAATGCCTTCGGTTGTTTGTCGGCAGGCTTTTGACCCCCGGTTGCCGCTCCAAGCGGCTTATCTAGGGAACAAACGCTTCGGGGTCAAAACAGACTTTGGAAACAACTGCAACGGACATGTTTCCGGCTCCAATGAATGCCTACTACCAAGTGAATCTACAGTGAACTGTAGAGAAATTACATGAGACATTGGATTCTGTGAGGATGTGATGAGAGTTCGAGATATGTGAAAAACAATTCTGTGGTGATTTTCCTGATTCTCTGATTTGCCCGCCAAGTGGCCGCTTTCTCAAAGGCCGATGTGGCTTTCACACTCATACGGGTATGCTCGGCAAACTCCTGGACGCGGAGCGAACACACACATGATAGTTACAAGAAAACTAGAAAGAAATGGTGGTAGAAGTCCTCCTCTCGCAGGGATATGCATGCTTAATACATGTTGAATCGCTATTAGGCTGGAGGCCATTGCTATTAGGTTGGAGGCCTTTGCAGGGCTGGATACTCATGTTTAATACATGTTGAATCCTTTTGAAAAGGTCCTAGTAGATTCCTTTGCTAGTAAAACAATTCTACTAGGAACAAGTGCATCGCTAGTAGTAACAAGTGCCTTACTGGTAGTAACAAGAAGCTACTAATTACAATTCTAATTAAGTTATTATTGTTACTACTAGTAAGGCACTTGTTTCTAGTAGCTTCTTGTTACTACTAGTAAGGCACTTGTTACTACTAGTAAGGCACTTGTTCCTAGTAGTGGGGATGTGATATGCAGTGAACGTGTTATATATGCCACAAATCAAGGCTGGGAGGAAGTGTCAAGCAGGCTGCAGCACCACTTTAACCCGTGGTAGGTGGAAGAAATTGAACAATCTATGACAAACCCCACTAGGATGATCATAATATATCATGATCAGGATCAGCCAGCCCATCAGCATTCATGGATTTCCATTTCCAAGTCTTTGTACCCCACTGCTACACAAAGCAATGTTGAACAAACAGCTCTCCTGGTCTCATGGACAATTGTGTTATGCGGGAGGTGAATGTGGGATTTGCGTGAACAAATGTCATTGGATTCCTCCAACCGGATGCCCAGATGCACTGACAGAGGCCATGGTTGTGAGAGAATCCGAAACGACCACAGAGTCCAAACAAAGACTCTGGACAGACCTGTGCTAATTTGAATTCTAATTAAACTGAATTCTAATTACTAATTCTTGTCTCTACTAGCTTCTTGTTACTAGTAGTAAGGCCCTTGTTCCTAGTAGCGATGCCCATTGCTCCTAGTAGCGTCCTTGCTCCTACAAAGACTCTGGGAAGAACAACCAGACCTTCGGATACCTCGAGACTCGGAGCTCGTTTGAGCGGACGATCCCTCGGGCGTCCTTAATGAGGCCGTAGCGTTTATTCAGTTCCTTGGACGGCACCGGGCTGATTGAAGCTCAGGAACACGCATGGCTGTCGTTTGGTCTTTCGTTTCTTTAGGCACGTTGTGTTTCGTCGTGCATTGTCTAAACTGATTATGCCTTCCTATGATGTGTTTCGTTGTACTTGGAAGGCTTGCCTGATTCTTTGCTTTGCAGTACTGTAGCTCAGTTGGCGAATCGCTCGCAATTCCGGGCATACTTTGGCCTGTCTAGGTATCATTTTGAGACCCCAAAATTCAATGAACAAGGAATATTGAACATGTTTTTCCTTCACCCTGCAGCTGTCAGCGCATCAGGTCAGGCGAGACACCTGCTCTCTACAGTTCTGAACTCAAATATTCAACCTTGTTCTTGTGAACTCCTCTCTGCCGTTTCGATACAAAGATATACAAAGCTACTCTGTTTTACAGTACATCCTCATCATCCTCGTCCACCATGCTCCATTGCCTCCAGAAGTCTCACACACACCCTTACCTCTCTGTAATTATTGGTTTGTTGATGGAATTGAACTGTTTATATATCAAACACTATTAAAAGATAAAGAAAGCACAATCAACCATCAACCAATATGAAAACAACGTAAACCACCCGCTGTAAACCACCGTGTCCATCCCTGAACCGCAGCGAGCTAGCAGAAACGTCCGAGGCGCCGCTTGAGCCCGGTCCACACCTGTCAAGGTGGTGATCACCTGCAAATGACTCGGCCAGAAGTGCCATGAGAAGCACCCGTTTCATGGAGAATTCATGAGTTTTTGAGGTGCATCCTCTTCTCTATAGTTCCTCTTTGCTGTTGCTCCTTTTCATCCAACGAAGAGTAACGATATGACACTGTGACTGAAACAATTTTTTCTCTGAGATACTACGCAACGCTACACTTCTTGTCGGCGAGCGAACAAATCTGAAGAGGATCCAAGCAGCACATGCCGACCGGCGGGAAGCAACCGATGAACCCTGCCCAACTGATGTGGTGCCTCTTTTCTGTCGTTTCGTTCCCGCTCAGGAGGCCATCGCTATAGTTTGTTGGAGGCCATCGCTAGTCTGGACATCTACCACGTAGATCGCTCGCCCCAAACATGTCGCGATATTTCGCATGCTATCCATGCTATCCACGTGTGATGCGAGATCCTTTTGAATGGTGTGGGGGTGGTGACCTGAAGCCAAACCGGACCTCTTGGAGTTGAATGGGGGGTGTGCCGTAAAACAGTCGGTGCTGGTTTCAGACTGACGACGTTTTGGAACAAGTTTGGGCACATTTTGGGTAAGTGCGCTACAAGAGTTGATGAAGTTGCGTTCTAGGTGTGGTAGCATCAACGGTCAAAGGTCAGTTTCGTTTCCAAGGTTTGGATCAACTGAATGGTGCTTTATCTGAATGTTAATGTCCCCATCCACTGGCAGTGAAACACAACAAAACACTCCTCTCTTCACTTCCCATTAATTTTCTTGTCAGCAAACATAAATGTTTCGATTCATGAAAAGAAGTAACATGCAAATGGGTTGAAACAATGTACACATAGATGTGTATATATATATATGAGATCTTTATGAGACCAAATTAAGTAAAACGCAGTAGGTTGGAGGCCATCGCTACTAGTAAAATGAAGTAAGATGAACATGAACATGGTCGAATCTCTCCGCCTCGGACATGATGATGCTATTGACCACCTCGGACCATGTTCAAGACGTCGGAGAACGGATTGAAAGGACCGAAGCGTTCTGTCGACCGTCTCAGGACCAAAACAAGTCGAATAGAAGCTAGTAGTAACAAGAAGCTAGTAGAAACAATAAGCTAATAGTAGCTTCTTGTTACTACCAGTAAGGCACTTGTTACTAGTAGCGATGCACTTGTTACTAGTAGCTTCTTGTTCCTATGTAGTAAGGCCAGGAGCCCCTAGTAACGTTCGTGCTCCTAGCAGTAAGGCCAGTAGCCCCTAGTAGGATTCTTGCTACCAGTAGCGATGCCAGATTCACTATGATCCTGCACTCGTGCAAAGAAGTCAAGATCGAAATTGCCCACGTGTCGTCGACCTAGGACCCTGTGGAGCCTCACTGAGTGGGTGGCTCAAGTGGCCTGGGTGCAAAAGAAGGATAGCCAGGATAGCCAAAAAGGAAAAGGAGGCCATCGCTTCTGGTTGGTAGGTTCCTTTTGCTAGTAAGCTCATGTTGATCTCCACAGGAGAGAATTTTCATTGAACGGAGTTGAGAGCTTGGGACCGCACAGTAACTTGGCATGGCTAAGTTGATCCATTTCATGTCCCAGATTCTCTTTTTGCCAAGTCCTCAAGTATATCATATATTGGATCTTCTTTTAACTAGCTGAATCTCTGCCAAATCTCTTTATGGCACCTCAGAGTATGATTGCTAGCTTTGAGTTGTCCGACAGAAGAATGATCACATGCATTGTTCCCCTTAGAAGGGTACTGAATCATTGCTCGTTTCATTCAACAAGAAGACTTAACAGGATATCCCACCCTCCAAAAACCCTCACCCCTAAACCATCCAAGCCACTGTTCCAACAATCCTGAGCCACTCCGTTGACGCGACGTGCGGGGACTCGTTGGACTCGAGAAGGAAACGTCTTTGGATCGAAACGTCGGTTTGTCAGACGGGCCCATCTCCTATCGGACCTTGAAACGATGCCCATGAGAGGGAAGCAATCATTAAACACATTGGATCCCCGGATTTCGTGAGGTTGGCGGACAACTAGCGGATTTCTGGATGTGGATGGTCGTTCTCCACCGCATTAAACACAGGACACTCATGTCGGACACTCCCTGCCAATACTAAGAAGAATTGGTCTTCGCATGGTTGAGATGTATTTCCTTCCCTGAACCTGGTCAAAACTAGTCGTGACATGCAACGCCGCCCGGAGCGAACAAAGCCACCTGGAGTGGTAGACGCTCACCCAACCTCTTCTACTTCCCTCGAACTCATTGTTTCGTCCAACCCATGTCCAACCTATAAAGCTCTTCAGCAAAAGCCACCAAGATCCACCAGCAAAACTCCCAAGGAACGCAAAAAGATCGTCAGAGACTCCAGCAAAACCCACAGGTTGGAGTGTTGCTTGACCGGTCAACTGGTCAGTTGCATCCTTCTTCCAATAGGAAACCGCATAACCGCAAGCAAACGCCGAGCCCGGACGGCGAGCCCATCCGGATGATGCTTCGCACCGCAAGATCAAGGCGCATCGCCCAATCGGCGTATAAGGTCTCCCCCGTGGTGAAGGCGCTCATGTCACCGAAGCCCACCGTGGTGAAGATCGTCAAGATCTCGTGCGTTGGACGGCGGGATCCTCTTTTTCTTCCAAAGGGGACCCTTTGCAAGGCACACCGGGACAACTAAGAGTGTTGCCTTGCTGGCTGAAAGGAATGAAAGTCTGATGAAAGGGTTCTGTGTTCATCTTTGTTCTCTAGTTTTGCGAAGGAACATGCTCGATTCATATATATATATAGCTTTTCAGTAGAAAATATCGTCAGAATGTTTCAATTTCTTTGATCGTGTGGCCTTCCCAAGAGAATGGCCGATATGCGCAGCTATGTCTGTCGACCATAAGTTGGCACTAGTCTCAGCATGGAGGATATGGGTTCATCATGCTTAGAATGTCGTTGTTACATGGCCAAATGAGCAGCAACTAGCTTTGGAACCGCCTGTCAGGAAGTGGATGGAAGTGTTGCAATTTCAGGGGATGCACAGAAAGGCCACAAGATCTGATCTGATCTGATCTTGGAGAATGTCTTCGATGTCTCTCGGAAGTTGAAGACGCCCAAATGAATCTTCACATCGCTTCCCCCCTTGAGGCCCCCCGGCAAAATACAAGGCATGCACCTCGGGAACCCACACAAGCGACTCGAGGCAGCCAAAAATGAGAAAGTAGGTGACTGAGGCCATCGCTAGTAGGTTGGAGGCCATCGCTATTAGGTTGGAGGCCATTCCTAGTAGGTGACGGAGGTGATATCTTTATAGACGAAGGGTGCCGTACGTACTCTTGAGGAAGAGTGATATTCTATAAGTAGCTCTTTTTTGGGGCAACTATAGTACTATAGAATCAATCTTTGGTTTGCCTTTTACGCTCTGCCTCACCACTGACGCAACCCATTTCGAGATACTTGGTATCACTTGGTGCTGACCTAAGCCCTCCAAAACAGGATCTGTGCAGGCTTATTGTCTGAAAACATGAACACCGGTGGATCCTTTGTCGATCCCCGGGGCTATTAGGGTGGAGGCCATTGCAATAACAAGAAGCTACTAGGGGCTCCTGGCGTCGCTAATAGGAACAAGAACGCTACTAGTAACAAGAAGCTACTAGGAATAAGTGCATCGCTTCTAGTAACAAGTGCCTTACTAGTAGTAACAAGAAGCTACTAGGGTAGAGGTCATCGAGGTCACGAGGTCCCGGCCCATTGCACACCCGGATCCTCGTAGACCAACAAGACCCCCTGGCCAAATGCCGCGGTGATCGTGTAGTCATGCGTCTACTAGTGAATATAGCGATCCAATGGGATCAAGAAAACGAACATAAACGTATAACTTAGTTCATAGTTCCGAGAATTCAGCCCATCATCTTGCTTGATATCCTCAGAACCATCCTGGGGTAAATGTGCCCGTCCAAGCAGTGGATGTCGGAACAGCACGACGTTTCTGAAATGGCTCCCATCTCCAATCAACTGAAAAAGTGGCAGATAACGGAGCATCCCGTTGAAAGTCTACAGACTCATTCTCCCATCTCAAGCATTATTTTGACGAAGGCATTTGCAAGGATGGCTTGACTTGGAGCAATGTGCAACTCTTGTCTCGAACATGACATGTACCCCTTTTCCTTCCGCATGTTTGCGGCTGCCTCCCACTGCGAAAAGCGAAGGGGTCTATTGAAAACATCTCAGAAAGAAAGAACGAGAGGTCCAACATGAAAAGACATGGACACATAGGGAAACATAGGGCCAACACAATGTGAGGTGTGAGTTCTTCCAGAGTTTTTTGAAAAACAAGAAGCCACTAGGAACAAGAAGCTACTAGGGGCTCCTGGCATCGCTACTAGGAGCAAGAACGCTACTAGGGGCTCCTGGCATCGCTACTAGGAGCAAGAACGCTACTGGGAACAAGATAGATTATCCAGTAATTTTAGTTCTATATAATTCTAATAGCCTTTTGTTACTACCAGTAAGGCACCTGTTACTACTAGCGAGGCACTTGTTACTAATAGCTTTTTGTTACTACCAGTAAGGCACCTGTTACTACTAGCGAGGC